GTTCTGATACCGCGAACTACGTTCCTTGCACTCGAACCACGAATCTCATATCGCGAACGTGAAATCTTATGTCGCGCACCACCATTTCCTTGTTTCCGAACATATTTCTTGTACCGCGCACAGAGATCCGTTACCGCGAACCAGGCATCTGATCGAAAAAAAGTCCGTAATTTTGTTCGTATTATTACGCATAAGTAAAATTCCAAGGAAGTGTTTTCATATGGAATTCGGAAGAAATATTTTCCCAGTTTCCATGCATGTGAATGAATATCCACTCATTGACGATAACAGTATTTTCAAGCTCTAGGAAACACAAAATATTGGGACTACCTTGCAATCACGCGCATTGACATTTTCAGTGAAAGGGCTGGGTAATAACAACAAAAACAAAAACCTGACTTTTGAGTAACAACACGTATGGCCAAATTAGTGACAGCTTTTTCCAATTTTGTCCATTTGAGCCGATGATTGCATCGTAATAAAGAAATGAGTTACCCTATGTACAATATTCCTGATTTTATAGAATCCTTGATGTGCTATATCTGTCGCTCCAGCTACTGATAATTTGAAGATGCTACCCTTTGCCATGGAACCCCCCCCCCCATTACGGCTTGTGGGATTAACTGTTTACATACAGGAAAATAACAATCTATCATCCTGTTAAAGATTTTAACACTTGGTTTTGTTTCAAAACATATCAAATGATTACTAAATCGTAATTTTAGAGTAAGGGCTAAGAATACTAATCTTTGATCGTCTGAGATAAATGTGTGTTGACGAGTCATGTAGTTAATAACTCTTGGTTTTAAAACCGAAGCTTTCATTGTAGGCTGTTCTGCCCCACCCATGGGCCATTTTGCCCTACTCTCCACATTATTTTCGAACACTCTGAAAAATCACAGAAAATGTGAAATATAATCCCTTCATAAGATGGAACATGAAAGTTCGCGATGATTGACAGATTAGAAAAACCTCTGCACGGATCAAATTATTATGAGGGCCGTTTTGCCCCATGTTCCCAAAAAATTCCTGACTTCAGCAACCAGGACGATATCTGACCCAAGACATATGGAGCGCTAAAATGTCGGACCCTATTTTTCTGGGCCCATCTCAGAGGGATAACTGATTTACAATATACTACAATGTAGGTGTACTGTATAAAAGTAAACCTTGTAGTTTAAGGTCGCATGATGCAGTGTGACCAGGATCACACTGACCATGGTCAGAATGACCCTAGACATGATGAAATAACTTTTTCAGCCCTCTGAAAAGGTCAATGTAAATAGCTTTAAGTAGGAGCATAGGAAAGGTTAATGAACAGGATCTTTTGAATTTTTCAGAAAATGTGCCCAATATATTGCTCTAAATGATACAATCTTTAAAATTTTAGAAACTTGTCTGAAAAAATGGCGGTCATAAAAAGGAAAAAATATCCGCTTTTCAATTCAGTTTTTTGATTTTTTTTCTTTTTCAAGGAATGATATCAAATTTCCCAAGATTGTATCAGTGATAGCAATATATTAGGCACATTTTCTGAAAAATGCAAAGATTCTGTTCAGTGACCTTTCCTAAGCTCCTACTTTTATCTATTTTTCAGTCACAAATTTCAAAGGGCTGAAAAATTAATTTCATCATGTCTAGGGTCAACCTGACCATGGTCATTGTGATCAATGAAAAAAGATAAACTATACAAAAACATGAGTCACAAAAATGGATGTCGGGAACTTGATCATCGGTGCAAGCGTGTGATATACTAGTGTCAATACAGTTTCTGGTCCAACCACAGCTATCACACACCTCTACACTTTCGTTGTGGTTCTTACAAATGACATTTCCTATTACACCACACCGTGCGCAGATACTCTCTGATCCCAAAAATGAATGACTGTGGGACGCAGTGCTATCCTTTGACACATCATTTAAAACCCTGCCAACTCGGGGCGTGGATGCTAATCTTGCATGCTTTTCAAAGGAACGAAAGTCCGGCGAAAGCGGAGGAGAAACTGAATTTCGTTTCCTTGTTTCACTCCGTTGCATATTAGTGGTATATACATGTAACTTGGAATCCCAAACACCCGGATGTATTATGTACAAATTGTTCGCGGTAACGGATCTCTGTGCGAGGTACAAGAAATATGTTCGGAAACAAGGAAATGGTGGTGCGCGACATAAGATTTCACGTTCGCGATATGAGATTCGTGGTTCGAGTGCAAGGAACGTAGTTCGCGGTATCAGAACTGATGTTCGCGTTGTTGGAAGTCTAGGAGCCCTGAGTCAGCACCAACGGGATAAAGAACTCGAGAATGGTTGTAGTAAGAGTATACTCCACGTTGTTAAAGAACTCTACGGCACAATCATCATCTGCCGTTGTTCTTCGCCCGATCCAGTCACTAGCGGATCTGCGGGGGGGGGGGCAGAAAAAATTGAGCCTAAAAATGTTGGGCCAGTAAAGGTTACAGGGCCCCAAAAAGTGGGCCTTTTCGATCATTACTGGGCTTTTTAAGGCCTTTTTTTAATTTTAGGCCAAATTTTGGGGGTTTTAGGGGCCCAAAATAAGAGCGGAACTTTTTTCTCTGACCTGAAATTTGCCCCCCCCCCCCCTGTTGGTTCCCAGATTCGCCCCTGCCAGTATTCCCAAAAAATAATTGTCAGTCAATACAACAAAAACGACAAAATCCAGGAAAAAATGACATAGACCAGTAGACCACAGCTCTTTTTACTGTTTTTTTGCTGTGTATGACGCCCCCTGGGAAATTAGCATGAAACGGTCAAAGCTGATCAGAACGATTGTCGAACAGTCAAGCCGAGTAACTAAGTTAACATTCGAAAATAAAAATCTCAAAAATCGTACATCTTTGATTTCAAAAATAATTTGTGAGGTGGTTATTAAGATGATAATACACAATTTTACGTATAAATTTTGAGTACATCTCGAATCCATTCTCAACAAAGCGTTCTCAAAATAAGTATTCCAAAATATTTGAGTTCGGGATGATAAAAGTACGTTAAGATATACCGCTCCTTAACAAACTTCTTTGGGAACAAGATATTAATCAAATGCATATTCTTCTTATTTACTCCCTGACACATGCAAACGAATGTAACATAAGTAAATATCTCCGTTTTAAATAATTTTGTAAACGTTGTTCTCCACAAGTGCCATTTTTATAATTAAAAAACAAAATTAAACATTTTGCATTTCTAAATTGATAAGTGTCTTGGAATACAACTTAACCGCTGACGATTTAAGTTATTAATAATATTTCCCTTAGTGATCCCATGCTAAATAGACAGTAACTGGGTCATTGTTTTGTGCTCAACCTTGTTTTCATGACTTTTAAACATGAGTCCACAATTATGTAGGAAATTTCATTTCCAAATGTAAGCGTGTCAACTCCTGTTTTTGCACAAAATGTAGCCTTTTATTATGATAGATCGCCAAAATCTGCATGTACCTCCCAAATAGGCGACATGTTTTTAAATTTATAGATGCTGAGCTATAAACTCGAACAAAAATTTAAACCACCCGCTATTATTTTGATTACACAAGACGAAATTTCCACTCCCGGGGAGCACTTTGGTTACACTTTGAACGAGAATTCTTGAAGAATCGTTCGAATTTTCAAAAAAGGTTTTACGCAGTTTTATTGCTTTGTTTAAGCCTCGACTAATATCATACTCAAATCCGATACCATAATTATAAATTAAAATGAAACATTAAACTCACCAGGTTATATGATAAACCGTTTTGAGAATTTATGATTTGAGTTAACTGTGGATATTTATATAAAATATAAGTCGGCATGTATTCCAGCGTTAATGTACACACATGATGTATGCATCAACGTGTGACTTAAATATCAATTCGTGACTATCATATTTGGCTTTCAAAAATTAAGTTGGAAGTGACAGTGGTTGGAGATTAACGAAAATGTCAATCACATCCAAATATCCAAACGACGTCAAGTATTAACAATGCACTTTTCGTGCATCACAAACAAGGCAAGGTTCTGTGATCCAGCAATGTGCATTCCGAAAGAAAAAATTCACAAATATTATCAACACATCAGAACGCTTTAAATCCCGGGGTCACGGTACAATATTTGGTCCCCCTCGGTCACGGTATCTGTCTTACTACTTGCACTTAATTTGAAGGAAAATCATTCATGCCTTATATCTCCCTCAAAAAATTCTCACGAGTTCTGGGACACCCTGTACTCATCCAATTAGTTTGAACCTTTCAGGGCTTATAGCCCTGCTACTGGGCACTTCACATGAAATTTTCCAATGTCTTCCAGTGTCTGATTGAAAAGTGAGGCTCTAAATAGTAAGAAAATTGGTCACGAATTTGCCCCCCTCCAAATTCTGTAGGAGTGATTGGCATTATTTATTTTGCAAATGATTCATATATTATAATGTCTATGTATGTAACTTACAAACATCAAGATATCTAAAATTATTGAGAATGAAAAAAATATTTTCCGGGGGTGGGGTGTTTTTTTTTGGGGGGGGGGTGGGGGGCTAACCCCTGAAAAAAAAGAATTATGTACCACTCTGAGAAGCTATCACCTAGATAGAATTTTCATCCAAGACTTCCCTCTAACTGAAAATGCTGCCAAACCAACTATACTCCATTTATTAAGAATTTTCCTCCTCGCTCTTAGAGTAAAGGGGAGGGCATACTTTCGGGACACCCTGTATATGTCGTAACTGTTATTAAACATTTTTGATTGTTTTCCATTCCAATTCTGACTGCCAAAATGGTCTAAAAAATTCGAACCAAATCTGCCAAGCGGTGTTTGAGTTATCGCGTGAACAGATACCGGACGAACGGCTTCTTTATATTCATAATCGAATTTTATTCGTTGGGATAATCAAGGTTACTATTAACAATAAAAAATCTGTTTATTCACAATGAGCGAACATAAAACAGTAAGGTTAGTTGTGATTATCTTATTACAGCAGCAAGACTTGAAGAGCTTTTGTTCTCAGGTATGAAACTGAGAATGAATTTTTTCGCCATATTCATCATATTAATTAGCTCTTCCGTTAGTATGTACATATTCTTCTACAATAGAGGAAATTTAACTATTAAGAAAGATTTAAGACAACCGGGACTGGAGAGTGATCCTGATTCAGTGGATTTGAAAAATCTTAAGATACAATACATTCCAACGGAGGAAACATTAATTTGGACAAAACCGACGACATGTGACAGAGAATCGGGATATCATACTTGCGTCGATTGCTTTAATGGTAAATCCTATGTATCAGGATATAAGGTAATACAATCTTATCCTGGAGTCAACTGTTCCCATAGTACCTGCCACAAGATAAACCCAGGAAGACAACCTGTTAAATACCGGCAACAGAAATACATCAGGCCTCTGTCACCGATTGAAGACATGGTTACACTTGCGGTTAAAACTTCTAAACGATTAGATCTCGTCAAGCGGTTATTACTCAGTGTATGGGATTTTTATCCTAAGATGAAATGTATTGTCATCGATGACTATAACGAGGATTTTGCACAGAACCCTGACCTTCAACACTTCTTCAACAATTCAACAAATGTGATATACCATCAGGCACACAATGATGCAGGTATTAGTTATGGTAGGAACCTTGCATTAAATTTTGTAAAAACAAAATATGTGTTCCTCACTGATGATGATATGGTCTTTAGTAGTAAGACAAACATTACTAAACTTGTTGACTTGTTAGAGCATACTGATTTAACAATCGCTGGTGCGACATGCAAACCCAATCACCCCTTTGAAGGTGTATTTATGGTTCGTCCAACATATCCAAATGCACAAAATACATCAACAATGGCTTCTTATGAAACTGTGGACCTACTGCAATATCCATCTATGTATTTTGAAAGATTACAGTGTTATGGCCAATGTTACGTCACAGATATTATACTGAACGCATTTCTTGCTCCCTTAGAGCAGCTGTTAAAGATGGGGGGTTGGGACGCAAGTATAAAAACACAAGAACATATGGATTTCTTTTTGACAGTACGCAAATTTGGATTAAAAGTTGCCGATTGTTTCGACGTCGAGGTACTTCACAGGTCACCAGCAAACAATCCCCTTCGCATGAAGAGGATGAAGAATTCAAATATTTATTTCAAACTCATCAAACAGAAATGGAATTTTTCAAAATGGTTCTTGTGTAATCCGAAAAGCGGTTTTTCCAGCCATCAGAAGATGAAATTTCCAGACGATTGGATTTGCAGTACATATTTAAATTTTGACAAATTGTGATTCACAAAGACTTCGAGAAAAAACAATCAAATTCATGTCGAACAAACGTTTCAAAATAAATGGAAAAGTAGCTTAGGCCAAGTATTCTGGGACATATCAATATGCACTTTAGCATGCTCTTCTAGGTGGTGGTAGATTTAATTTGAGTAGTGTAGCATAACTCAATGGTGTGACATAAAGTGGGTGGTGTTACATAAAGTTAATTTATTCTATTGTCGTAGTCTGGTATCATATACGATTTTGTCAGTTACTTCAAAAAGAATTAAAAGATTTACAATCGAAGTATTGCAAAACTAAATCATCTTGTTAAATTGTTTATACTATAGTAAAACAATACCAACAATAAAGAAATCAGACAAGTTATAAAGAATCGCAGAGGGGGGGGGGGGGGGTCCAAATGACCCCTTCCTTGAGACTTAGTGTTATAAAATAAAAGGTAGCAGACATAAGGTTTAACACAATGTGAAATGCTTTTAGCAGGTAGGTAAGAGGAGGGAAAGCCTCAGAGCTTTAGCGATGACTGACATTATACGTCTCTTGTGTACCACCTTCGTTTGCGCAAATTCTCACCAGTTAATTTTCGAACATTGCGCGTCGTCGTGATGTTTTAATCGATGTAAACATATTCCTCACATATTTCTCTATCTTGGTGTGAAAAACCAAGCTATGATATTGGTTAATACGCCAGGAATCAACATAATATTGTTCGAAGCGTTATTAGAAAATTTTGAATCCGCCATTTTTGTTTATCGATTTGGACCAATCAGAGGTGTATGTCATCTCAATACAGGTTTACATTATAAGCGTATGTCATCTTTGAACTCTGGTGTTAATCCCCCTCTGCAGGTAGGTTCAATCTTTTAGATACAACTAATATGATAAACACAAGTGATTACCCATCATTTAGAACTAAGTACCCACCAAACATTAAAAGCCAATGCTGTATCTCTAATGTACGCAAAGCGTAATATCACGGGGTACCAATACGAGACGTATCGAAACACCTACGTCCCGCAAAACCGTTAATTTGAATTTTAAACCTACCAGGTGTTTGAAAATGAAGGATTTTGAGTCTCACACTGCACCGTTTTTCTCCAAACTTGTGCCATTAAAAGCAAAACAAAATTGCCTCTAGCGGCGTTTTGGTCCACAGCTGTGAGATCAAGCAAATCTTCATAGATTTCAACTGTAAATCTAGTTATCTCGCCAGTCTTTTACTCATTCTCGCCCATAATTACAGAATGGACCCCTATTACAACCCTCCATCGTCACGTCTTCATTCGACTTGTGCTTAAAGATTTACCCGGTCTTGTCCATTATACGACCTCTTAAGTTTAGCATACCATACGATTAATAGCATACAGTTAACTCAATATCAATTTATCGTGTTCAACCATACGATTCCATAATAACTAGAAAGGAGTTGTATTGGTGAACTTTTTGAACACGCATTTCTCTTAAACCAGTCATCAAAACATTGCAGAAATCGCCTAATCCCCCCCTCCATCCATTTTGAAATTGGTCCGTCTAATAACCGAGAAATCAAGCATTAGGTATGAGGGGCATAGTAATAAACAAATTATCATCTAAAATGTCGTTAAATACAAAAATGAAATTGGTCCGTCTAATAACCGAGAAATCAAGCATTACGTATTCTACTTTAAAAACACGATTTTACAAACCAAAGGTTTACGCATCGTCGGTTCCCACGCTCAATCATGATAGGTCCGAAGCTTGATGAAGCAAGATGAGGTTTACGTGCATTTATTCATCGTGGTAAAGCATGGCTAGCCACACGTTAAGCACACCATTGGAAAATTATTTTTGCGATTTTATATATCATAAAAATATTTACCAGAACAAAATAGAGAATCAAACCTTAGAATGTTAATGATACACCCTGAAAGGATGTGGTACGTCCCCGCTCAACGCATTCCCCAAAAAGTCTGATTCTGTAGAAATGACACTTTCCATATAAATGGAAAAAAAGATGGCATTATGGGTATAGGTAGGGCTAAATAACATGACAAGAATCACTTAATTTCTTGATTTAACAAGTAATTCCACTTGAATCAACTTAAAACACCATTAGAATCTAACTATATGATATTATTGACATATGGATTGTGATTTCACATTAAAATTGTGATCCTTGTAAGAGTAAATGGACTTTTGAAGGTTTTTCAACATTGTGTCAATGGGGATTTAGCCCGACCATTTTTAGAATACTTGAAAATCTCTAGAATTTGAATAAGGTAAATAACAGTGCAAAAACTAAATTGTTTTGATAAAAAATTACACACAGAATTCAAATAGATGAGAAAATGTTAGTCTTTAGTGGTTGAAAATGCAGATCTCCTAAAATCTCATCAAAACGAGACCTTAACTAGATTTCAAAGCTATATGGAAAAGCCACTATTAGATAGATGCCTTCACTAGGCTATTCTCTGTACTTGTGTCCGTGCCTCATTTTGAGTAGCGAGTGTAAATTTTTTTCGGAAACATGATTATGTTTTCCCTGTAATTATATGAATTGGAGATATCTGACAAAATTTGGATAGCCTAAAATATAAATTTTGTGTTTTTGAACATGCGGAAATATCTCAAACACTTTGAAACTGAAGTACAGTTCCTTAATAGGTCGTTCAGTTTTCTTGTTTTTGTTCTACACAACACTTGTGTTTAATAACCACGCGTAATTATTAATAAGCGTAATCAGATTATTCCAAGCGTCGAAATAGCTTATTTTCCTTGACGTATCTACACAAACCTATTCACTTACCGTTATATTGAGCGATCTAGATGCGTCAATTATAATTGTTTTCACTCATCGGCTTTAGTGGCCCGCGATACCTTTTATTTCATTCATTTGAGACGCAATTGATATATTGGCAACAAATCAAATGTTCAAAATGTTTCTTCTTCATTTTGGAATGTTTCTCCTACCCTATATTCAAAGATGTGTCTTAAATATTATACTTTACATTGATCACGATTCTTGTACTTTCTGTCTTTACGACTCCCGTTTACATTTGCAAGAGTTGTTGATTGCATTGCCTTGATCGTTGGTCGAACTTCGATTCCAACTAAATCAGATTAATCAATTAAGAAATGTAATATCATCGATGTTTATCCAAGCAAATAATTGTAACAACTTCATTATTTTTTAGCAGTTTTGACACCTAAGCAGGGTAGCCTAGTGGCGTAGACTGAGGCTACTTTGCGGTTGAACGTCGTGGGATACAGAGGCCCCGCGTTCGAGCCCCAGGTACGGAGTTGTTGATCATTGTCACTACGGACACCCGGTCCGAAGGTTCAACCGTTTACCGGCCCTTGGCATGGGTTGGTTCTCTGGCCGCTCTTGCTGGAGACAGATTGTGAGACTGTGGTTGGTTCCTCCACTAACGTGCTTTAGTAAACTCCGGGAGTCATATAGTATGGTAGCGGGCCCCCACCAAGGGCAGTAGTGGAACGACGCGAATCGGTCCCAGTATGGTTGCCTTGCAACTGAAGAGACTCGAGGAAATCATGCCATTCGCAGTGACCCAGAAAAGACTTTTGCTTCTTAATTTGACGTTTTAATTCATTTATTTACATACTTTATTCATATTACTTTCCCGGCAGTTATTATTTGTATTGGTCAAATGAATGAACGAGACATCTAGATACTATTAATTCATCTAGATAGTATCAAAACCATAATTCGATTTGTCGGACATATAAAATAACATTTGAAAACACAACACACATAGCTGCAATATCCGTAGCATTTGGCACAGTCGGTTCCCACGCTCTATTATTTTGTGCGGTCATCATAAGATAAGGAGGTACGGTTGATTGGACCATGGGCTTTCAACAGAGTCAAGCAATTGGCATGGATACTTTGAGAAATGAGGTAGTAACAAAAGGAAACACCGGGAATAATCCAGAACTGTCCACACCATTGTTTTCGTTAGTTATGGCAAGGCCCCGGAGGAAAAACCGCATTCGTGAGTAGCTTAATTTTTGTACCAATTAGAGCCATGACTTAAAGATTCTCGCAATCTTTATCCAATCAGCGTTTGCGAGTGTGTCGGCTCACGTATAAAAGGCGAATCCAACTCAAATCCATGCAGGGGTGTATGAGGTACTCGAATAGGAGAGCTCGTGAAATCTGAATTTATATGCACATGGTCAATGTTTACACATGTTTGGAGTTATTGAAGAAAATGTGATATGGGTGTTGTTCCGAATTTGAAGTCATTGCTGGAAAATATGATTTTAATACGTGAAATTATATCTATAAATACAGCACTAAAAATAACAGCACACATGAACACCCTATGCAGACAGAGCCTGTGGGAAATATTGGGTGCGGAGCAAATGAGCGGAGGGTGCGGAGCTAACGGTTATTTTTGAATTTAAATTTGGGATATTTCTGAAACTAAGCCGTTTTGGGACTTCAAATATACCAAGATATGTGTATTTGACACCAAATATCAATACAATTGTGAAAATAGTAGCGCAATTCATTCTATAGCGACGCAGTGTGCCTTAAACTTTTCCCAGACCTATATATTTTGAAATTATCCTTTTAATACTGAGTCCCCAGCATTCATAAAAAATGGTGTTCAAGGTGCACTATCTATACAAATTATTTTTGCATCTTGGAAGCCAGGCAGTATCTGTGTGATTTTATAAAAATTCGGAATTTTTTTCAGATATGAGCCCCCTCTAAATATTGGGTGCGGAGCAGCTCCATAAACGTAGCTCCGCACCCAATATTTAGAGGGGCTCATATCTGAAGAACATTTCCGAATTTTTATAAAATCACACAGATACTGCCTGGCTTCCAAGATGCAAAAATAATTTGCATGGGTAGTGTATCTTGAACACCATTTTTTATGAATGCTGGGGACCCAGTATTAAAAGGATAGTCTCAAAATATATAGGTCTGGGAAATGTTTAAGGCATACTGCGTCGCTATAAAATGAATTGCACTAATATTTTCACAATTTTACTGATATTTGGTGTCAAATACACATATCTTGGTATATTTGAAGTCCCAAAACGGCTTAGTTTCAGAAATATCCCAATTTTAAATTCAAAAATGACCGTTAGCTCCGCACCCTCCGCTCATTTGCGCCGCACCCAATATTTCCCACAGGCTCTGTCTGCATAGGGTGATGAAGTACATGTATGATTGTGTCCAGAAATGTTTGAAACCCTTACAGAAAATTCTGTCTGCATTTTGTCACCATTGCTCTTTCTTCCCGCATTCTAGTGCTGTTTGAATGAATATATTAATTATGTATTTCT